GGTTTTCGGTTCGACGCCATTTTCTACACTCATGTTCCTCTTCTTTCTTCTACTTCTTTTTTTTAATCTAGATTCATCGTTATTGGTCGTTCGGTATACTTTCTCGATAAAAATAGACGATCTCGCAGCGTTATTTACAACGTGCACGATGACGCGAGCTACGAACTCGATTTTCTTTCGCATTTCTTTTCGTGTCTGACGAGTACAGGAAAGTTCCACTTCACCCGGGACTCACCACGGAACTCCACGGGTTCGAACGACTTCTCTCGTAAATCCAAATGGCAATCAAATCAAATCAACAAGACTATTAGTGTACCATTTAATACCAAGGAGGAAATAATGTATTAATGTACCATATTTAATACCAAAAGGAGAAAACAAAAGAAGATTTCTATCAAAATAAAATTCTATTGCTAAAGCGGAACGAAATGCAGCTAAATTCGCGAGATAGTTCTGAACAAGTATTGGCTTTCTTCTTTTTTCGCTAATTTATCAATTCTCTGTGTCAGATGTCGGAACTCAAGCGTCACTGTACATATTAAACAACATCGAACGATTCGCCGTGTACAATTCATTATCGAATACTTAGGACACTAAGACTGCATAATTAAGTCATAACATACGAAATACGATGCACTTTAATCACATAGCATGAGAATTTCTTTACAAGACTATATACATGCGCACGTTATCCATGATATATGTACAGTTTTACGTGTTGTGGAACGAATCAAGACTTCCTTTTCTTATGCTTCGTTTTATTTCTTCGAATCGAGGCGCGGTTACCTATCGGATCACAGTTCTCGACGAAAGGAAATGTCATCAAGTCGAACTCTATTCGTGGACTCTTCGATTTTTTTTTTTTTTTTTGAAAGTTTGACGATACAGTGAATCTTTAAAATGACTCTCCATTGAATTTTGCATCTTTAGAATGACTCTCCATTGAATGGAACAATGATTTAATGTAAATAACGAAGGGGAACAACGTCGAAATGATCCGAGTTTTCGAAATCGACGGATCAGCTATCGAAGAATGCGACTCTTCGGCAACGTTGGAAACAAGAAACCTTGACACGACATATCGACTCGATGGTCTTCCACGACGTTTCAAACGACAAGTCACATCTTTCCACACTCTTTCATAAACTGTCTCGTGTCCATCAGGGTTCCTAAATCCTGAACCCTGTTCTCTACACCCGGTGACACTTGACAAACGTTCTCGCGATCGTCACTTAGTCTTTAAGTACAGCGTCATGGTACTTCGCACTTCCAAAGACCTCGCGCGAGACGATGATTAGCATCCTTCTCATTGACGACAGTCCTCCGAGGCCCTCGACGAGCTAAACACTGTTGACTCCAGCGATCGGAGACCGCCAGCAACGGAAAAAAACTAATAATCGGCATCGTCAGCGCCCATTTGTTCTTCCAGTCGCTCGATCGTCCGCCGTATCATCCAGATGATGATGACTCAGCCATCTCTGGAAGGAGAGAGACCGCGGGGAGCTTCGGTCCCATCCTCTGCGTATTCAGGTCACTGTTTCGATCGGGACTGGCGCAATAGGCGAGCGATTCGCGGAGATCACCTTGGCTTCTGGACCAAGGTGTTTCGGTAACCAATTCCATCCACTAATTTCTAAGCTAACGTGAGAATTCGTCGTGGAGAACGGCTGTTGTTTGTAACGGAGGATCGTTTCCGTATCTCTTTCTTCCCGATGGGTCATTCATCAAGCAACGATCAAAGAGTGACATAGCGTGAACTTCTTCCGGTTCAAGTTCTCGTTCCAGTGGTATTCAACCCAATTCTCCAATTAGAACAATCTTCATTCATCTCTCCTTCTAGAGTTTACCACTCGTCCAATTCGTTCAATGGTTACGTCAACTCAATCGACAATCGTTAACAGAACAAAAATTTGCAAATTCTTTTACGACCAAACAGCAACGTACCCCTGGCCAGCAGCGCCAACGAAGCCCGATAGTCGACTCGAACAGTCCAGCTCGCCGGACGGATGTTACAGCGCCGTGAGCCCGTAATCGGACTTGATGGCCGGTGGCGGAATGGGCGCGGAGACCTGCGACAGTCCGGAGGGACTGGTAGCTGGGGCAAGAGGGCTGATACTTCCGGAGCCGATGTGTCCCAACGGTCCCCCCGTTGGACCCTCCATCATGCCGCTCACATGATGATGACTCAGCTGCGCTTGAAGATGGGCCAGCGGATGCGGGTGACCTTGGAAGCTCGGATGAACCACGTTCGTATGCGGAAGGGCGGCGTTCACCGCGTGCACGTCCGCCATGTCCGAGAGAGCGACGCTCGAGTCCAGACTGGCGTCGATCCCGCTCGACGGCGAATTGTTGTTGTTCTTCCTTTGGCTGTTGTTGTTGCCGGTCGCCAGTTTCGATCTGGTGGCCGGCGTTTTCGCCGGTTTCGCCGACGGTGGCGCTGTTTGGCCATTGGCATTCTTCCTGCGCACGTTCTTCGTGTTCGGCAGCTTGTTGTCCTTCTTCCACTTCATGCGTCGGTTCTGGAACCAGATCTTAATCTGCCGCTCGGACAATACCAGGGTATGAGCGATCTCGATCCGTCGCCGTCTCGTCAGGTACCTATTGTAATGGAATTCCTTCTCCAGCTCGAGGATCTGGTGCCTCGTGTACGCGGTCCTCTGTCGCTTCGGCTCCATTCCTGGCTGGTACGAGCCGTTCGCTGCAAGAACCAGAGACATCGAGTCGAGTTAGTTGACTGGCGTTTAGCCTGAACCTAGAATCTGGTCGGCGTTGTTCTCAACAAGATTGAGAATATAATGGAAAGTACATAGAAATAACGTGTCTAATTGCGAATAAATGCCAGTTGATTCTCCTTGTTAGAACGGTGAGTTTTAACGAATATCAAGTAATCGTTTCAGCCTTGTCTATCGTTACAAAATGGCACGGCAACGGACAAACACGGCAATTATTCAAGCAATTACATGCCGACGTTATCGTGTCATTTTTCTAGTTAATATGCGGCAATCGATTTTTCTTATTTACCCGCGGCACGTATGAAAACGCAAACACGATCTATGAATAACACGAGTGAATTGTTGAATAGAACTTAAGCCTTTTATCGTACGATTACGCGCTACCCTTGACGATATTCCTTTTTCTATCGCGTTTTCTATAAATCGAGAAATCTGAATAAGTAATAATCTCTCTACTTCAAAGTCCAGAAGTGGACAGTCTCAAAACTGTGTTCAACAATTTTCAAGTAATTTCTGGATTCTACGTTCAGTAAAAAGAGAATCGATCGAATGTGAATCGACAGCGACGTAACAAATGGAAAGCAGAAACACGCCGGCCAATTAATAATAGCCATGCATTCAGACGAGCATTTTTAAACCGTATTATCCGACCATTGAATATGCAGCTTTCGAGCGAGCACATGCTTTGGCCAGTGACAAGACTCATTATTTTAAGGCTTGTACTATTGTCGATACACTCGAGACAACGTATCACCATCGACTTGGCATACGCTCGAGTTCGTGGAACGCGCGATCACAGATCAAAACAGATAAAAAATTGTGACACGTGCACCGACACCGACTCCGCCGTTCTCCAGAGAGAAACGACCCTACATTTTGCAGTCAGCGGGCCAATGATTCAAGGCCATGCTGTTTTAACGTCAAATAGCACAGACGCTTGTCGAAGTTCGAGCAATATTACGAAAGACAATTTCTACTGGATAGAAAGTCGAAAAAATGATTATCCAGTGCAAATATGAATTCGACGTATTGGGATGAACTCTTTCGGTGAACGTTGTTGTTGAAGAGTTCAGAAGAAGTCACTTGAAAGGAATGCAAGTCTGGAACTAATTGTTGGATTTTGTTTTCGTATTTATACAGGAATATGAAAAATGCAAAAATGCTTAGAATGAATGCAATGTACAAAAATATACTGGAAGAGCTTAAGCTTTGTATCATCCATTGCATTTCTAAAAATATGAAAAAAATCCGCTAATGATGATGATAGATATTTTGAATTTAATAAATAAGATTGAATGAACACCTACTCTCCTTTTATCTTTGCGACGTTTCAGTTGCCATCTTTTGTACGAACAGCTCAAAATAATTAGAAAATCATTTTTATTTAGCGCTAGTATACAATCAAGCAACTGTTTTACGCGCTTGACAGATTGACATGTTATTCGCGTGTGACATACCGCGATGAAGATTGACTTTAAGACGATCGTCGAGAAAAAAATGCACAGTCACAAGCAGTGGGTGCAAAGTGACACAGAGAGTGATCCTCTGTTTATTTCGTACGATATGTTGGATGCTGTGTGCCTTTTTTTTACATATATTAACGATACTCTAAAATTTTTAATATAGAGGCGAGAAATTTATAGATATCAATACAGTTTCAATTTCCAACTGTTGAAACTCTCGAAATAAGAATTATAGATAATGAAGACAATCACATGAACTATCACATGAACTGTAATAATTGATATTACATTACACGAACTGTGAAGAAATTCTACTCTATACAATAGATATATATATAAACAGAATTCTATACATAAGCAGAATTCCACTCTACCAATGTAAAACATAATTCTATTGCATAATCTTTCTCATCCATTTTACACATTTATTTTTCCTTCCACCTGCATCCCTACTACTATTTTTCCTTCTACTGCAAGTTCTACTGTTTTCTTATTCAGAGTTCTAACCGAGGCTCGGTATCAAAAGTGACCATCGTGGCTCGTCACTAACATCGACTGGGATCGCGACGAAGGTGACGCACGAGAAAAGATTCGTGTATCGATCCGTTGGTCGTATCACAAGCGACGTCAATCCTCGCGTGGCATGCTAGAAGCGTTTCTTGGTGGTCTGTACGGGGCACGATAGAGGAAGCATGGCAGCCAGGTTCAGTTTAGAATCTGTGCAGACACATTCCATTCCGAAGCTGACCGACGGTCTCGTGGAAGCCCTTCCTAACAGCAGTGTCCGGTTCGTTCGAGCTTCGAACATCCAGAGGGGAGAGATTGCAGTCTCCGACAGGCCGACGGATACGCATACCAAACTTTACTGGCACTGAACGTCGAACCAAGGATCGTGTTATGCGCGAAAATGATGCTGCTGCGGATAAAAATGACGCATGCCCCGCAAGAAACGGAGAAGAAGAAGTCCTTTTCTGGGAATGGAACGTATCGTAATACGTTCGTGCATCTCGAAAGTGTCACTACTTGAAATAATTTAATCCTGAGTAGAAGGGACATTAAAATTGTCAGAACAAAGGTTTCACCCGCTAACGAAATGGAAAAGTGCGGAAACAATAGTTTTCCGTTTTTAAACGATGTAAATAAAACGATATAACTCTAAATAGTTAATCGATTTTCCTTTGAAAAGAGCCAGCTTAAGATGCGTCATTGTTGAAACACTTACACTTTTGGTTTAAAAGCCTCATTTTCAACATTCAGTAATGAAAACAAGTTTCAAATTGTCGATATATTAACAGTTACAAATTCTTTGTTGTAATATAAGAATAAACTTTTGAAGGAAACTTTTGAAGGAAATATAATGCTTGTTCTAAAAGGTTGAAGATACACAATATGAAGAAAAGAAAGAAAAGAAAGGGGCAAAAGTTAATAACTATTATTACCTAGACTGTTGATTTTTATGGATTTGTGAAATGTAAAACAGTTTCAGAAACACAGAAATGTACAAAAATATATGAAGTACTTAAAGCAAAGTATATGTTATAATCTTTAGTTAGTAAAACATTGTTGTATTCTAGTTGTATTTTATATTCATAAAAATATTCTAATGTTATCTTCTTACAAGAAAATAGAGAACATAACATGCATATTTATCACGACTCTGAACTTGTATCATACTGTGTTCAATTTCAGAACAACATCTCAAACAATTTCTCATTTGTTAAATTTTTATAAAACCGTAGAAAAATATTGTAGGAGTAGTTGAAGATCGTGAAATTAAGAAAACTTGAAGAAACACCAAACAACATTTTCAACATCAAAATAAAAGGATATCGAGAGAATGAAACTAAAATCAAGTTTTTTTTTTTAAATTGCCCAGATATGTGAACAATTTCCAAAACTACCACACAAATCGCTTTTTAACTATCGAACGTAGCCATGTCGCGGGCTCTAGCTAGGAACTCACAATAAAAAAGGTAGGAAGAAAACCTTTGTTACGGTGGAACAACGCGTTAAAAACTTGTTTCGCATACGGTGCGCCGCGTTTCTTTCATCGGCGATATTTTTTGTTACCTGGAAATATGAATTATGATATTCGGGTTCGATAGTATCCGCGTAGAACCGGCTGAAAAGCGAAATAGTTGCAAGCTGGAATGAACAGCACTTTCCCCGGTCAAAACGGAATAGAAATTTGAGGCTGCAAAGGCAGCCCAATTCTGTGGGATATTACGCTGCAAAAATTCCCTTTTGTAGATTCATAATCCTTCTGCGAAATGCCTCCCGCAGACGGGAACGTTCGTTGCGCGTTTCACTCACGCCATTCTTATCGACGCGTTTCCAATGAACACTACCCAAAGCTTGTATACTCATAATTGTGTAATTGTGAAATTCCGCGGAACATCCTGTGCCGAGTCGACAGGTTTACGCACACGTGAAAGGAATATCGTTTATTTACGAAGAAAGTGAGAAGACTCAAATAATACGATTTTCGAGTAATTACTGTAAAGAATGTTGTAGAGACACTCTTCGATTTATCTTTACAATTAAAAGAATTACACTCATCTGTCTGATTCGTGTGACATTGTTATATATCCTATTCTCTACATGTGTGTCTCTACATGTGAATTTTGTTCATACGTGTTAATAACCACATTAACGGTGAAAAGTATATTATTTTAAATTGCAGTAGAAATTGATTAAAGTAGAACTCTTCTTGTATAAATATTTTTCTTAATATCTTAATAACTGAATATTATATTACCAGAATAGTTAATAATATAATTGAATGCTATATTATCAGAATAGTTATATTATCATGTCTGTTAGCGATTAGAAGATCATCTGCTATTAACAGACATTCTGTAAATATAAATACTAAGATATTCAAAAAATAGAGGTTCGCGCAAAGAAGACTGCATTACACGAAAATAATTTTGGCAAACAAATATTTCGAATTGTGAATGAATTTCTTTGCAAATGAACAATGTGAAAAAAGAAATTGTAATACGAAGAAGGTAACGAAATACGACGAACATTGTTGAGATCGTATAATACGTTCCTATGATCGAAACACACGTATCGATTCTACCTCTAACCAATAAGATAAACTTCCACCGATTTGTCCGCTTTTGTGCGTGTTTAGAGTCATCCTCAAAGTTCGCTATTTCTCAAGTTGACGTGCGGTACGAGATGAAGAATAGCGGCACTAGGCGTAGCCGAATAGGTGGTAAATAGATAGGCTTCTAAAATCTTGCACAGGTGATCGGAAGGTGCAACGATAAATTGCAGCCCATCAGTCTTCCGGCTGTTCGGTAGCGCGTCACCTTGCGGCCTCAGCGTATTAGTTTCACAGGTAAATCTTGCAACACCGCTTCCGAAGTCTCGCCGTTCGCTCCTTTGTGTGTGATAAAACGCATCTCGATTATGTTTTTTATCGTCAGACTGTTAAGCTAATGAAGGGAGAAAAGCGAACACGCGCATTGAATTGGATTATCAGACTGAAACTGCGTAATGAAACTGAGAACATCGGGCAACAGAAAAAATCAGTTGATGCCGTGTTTAAAGTTGAATAATACAGTGGAATAGACAGAATAATGCAGCGGAATAGATAAAATAACAAGGCAGATTCGATGGAAGCAAAATATAGGCAACTGCAATGCCTAAAATAAGTAGTAAAACCTAAAATTAGAAAACCACTGTGTTCCGTCGGACGATAATTGCTAAGCTTACCTGCCAGTTTCTAACTACTTTATAATTTTGAAACCTTCCATTAAAATTGAACAAACCTCTATGCATCTAATATCAAGATAAACACAGATTTCAACGGCTTCAAATTGTTTAAATTAAGCTATCCTGCCACTTCCAATTGCCAATTGTCCAACCCTCGTCGTCACCGAGATGTACGAATAAAAAGGGACGTTGAAAATCCCAACTCACCGACACCAGCGACATGAATCTTTCTCATCCACGGATAAATCACACGGTCCCCGTTTTCTTCGTCCTCCTCATCATCCTCCATCATTCCTGGCGACCCGTCCATCGTCTGATCATCCTCCATGTCATCCTGATCGGAACCGTCGTCCACGTGATGTTGCTGTTGCGACTGCTGTTGATTCTGCTGCTGTTGCTGCTGTTGCTGCGCGTTTTGTATGTGCTGAGGCTGTTGACCAGCAGCCGGTTGCTGCTGAAGATCCGGCGAGTTGTCGCGATGCAGTTGACCGGAACTTGCCGGGCTGCATGCGTTGTTTTCGTGCGGTTGCTGTTGTTGACTCGGTTGCTGATGGTGTTGAAGACTGTCCGGCGGCTGCACGTGATTCTGCATGATGCCAGGTGACAATGGAGTAGTGCCGAGGACAGTGGATGCGGACACAGGTGGTTGCTGCTGCTGTGGTTGTTGCTGGTTTTGCATCGAGGATGGACACGTGAGCGGTGGTTGTTGAGCCTCCGGCGGCATCGCCAACGCGCCCACCGCATGATGATGAGGATGCAAGCTCGCGTGATGAACGGCGTGCACTTGATGATGAGGATGATGAGGTCCGTAGTAGCTACCGTAGCCAGCGTAACCGCCGTTTAGCTGGACGGCGCTCGATGCACCATAAGGAGTGGAGGCTGCTTGATGATGGTGCTGATGATAGCCATACTGCAGTTGATGAGACTGCGGATGATTCAAGTGGTGGCCACCGCCGCTGGCGGGAAAGAAGTCCGTTCCAGTGGACGGGATGTAGTTGCTCTGACTGTACTCCTCGGTAGGTGGAAATTTCGGGTCCACCATGACGGAAGTCGTGGCCAGATGATGATTGCTAGCTGCCTGCTGATGTTGGTGATGATGATATCCACCGCCGGCGGATGGATTCATCAGGAACGAGCTCATGTTTGCGTGGATTTCTCGATTAGCGACGCGCGATCCCGATCACAGAGTCTCGTCACACGCTGGCCGATGATCAACGACGATCACGGTATGTTTTCGGAATTCGTCCGACTGTTCGTCAACGTTATCAGGATTAATTTCTAGAACCGCGAGGTTCCATGTTGATAATATTCATTGTTGGAAGCGTACGCACCGCACTGCACTGTGGCTCGTGGCCGACATCCCTCTCCGCGCGAGTAGGGTGACTTTTTCCACCGGAGGGGAAAGGGTACCGCGTCTAGACGCAGAAGGCGGAAAAGGGAGAAAGACAAGGGGGAGAGAAAACGAGCGAAAAGAGCAAGACCACGGAGAGTAGCAGACTCCCGGTGGACAGCTGCTTATCCTCTCCTCTCCTTCCGCCACTTTTGCGATCTTCCACGAAGCTCCGCGGCCTCGTTCGATCCTTCCCGCCCACCGAAGTCCAATTACCATACCACGTGACCGCGGCTCCGACCAATCAGAGCTGTTCCCAGTCTGCGACCATGATGGATAGCACGGCACGCATGCAACACGTGAGTGGCGCCGCAAGAACCACTGCGGCAGGTGCACCAACTTCTTTCTTCGTGGCTCCTTCACTAGCGATGGTCATCAGCTCTTCTATGACCTTCGTTCTCTATGACATTGCAGTCCTTTGTAACTTTTTTCCAATCGTATACACTTTACACTATTATTACGTCAATGTGTGATTTTTCTAGCCTTGGATCAATGTCCCCGATGCGTTTGTAAAAGTTCAAACGATCGGTTCAAAAATCGTCAATTTCGCTAAAACAAGAAATCACTATGTTCTGAAATTTCGATCGATCATCATTCACTTCACCACCGATTTTTTTTAAAGCGAATCGACCCGAGAGACATACGTGACCGGGGCAAGCCTGTCAGAGAGCCATGAAAGTGAGCTCGTCCTGCCTCGGCAGAAACTCGTCTGGCAACTCCGGCAACTCTGTTCCCAACTCCCTCCAGGTCTGACGAGACCGGCTGGCTTCGAGCCGTTGCGGAGAGCCGGGACACCCCCTCTCCGACGTCGTTCCTCTTACTCTGCCACCAGCTAACCCCACTCCGTGCAAGCACGAGACCAACCCCTGCCACGGAAAGCGTGGATCCTATGCCCTTATGGGGCCATACTCGAGGGTACCTATGTAGAACGGTATAGTCACTCCTACGGATCTTCTTAACCCGCCTCCATCCTTCTGAAATCCATCTTACGGCGAACGTGGTCAATGCTCGGTCAAAACGACGCCGATCGACCACGCTGTCCAACGTTATTGAGATCGTGACATCGGAGGTTAAATGATATCGCGATGCTAATTGGGATATGTCGCGCCCGGATGACGCAGTATTTACGGTATTTGGAAATTTCTGTAGACGCTTTAGATTGATCAAGTGAATGTTTACGTTATGAATACATTGTAAATATTTGGTCATTCGGAGATAACTAGCCTCTAAATATTATTCTTGAGTCACTACTACTACTTGAGTATAGGTAACTACAGCAATTTATTTTACATTAGGTACATAATTATAACTGTAGTAATTTATTTTACATTAGACACATAATTATATTAGGTACAAGATATATAATTTGACGTAGTTTTAGGTAGTTTTAACTTATATATATCTAATGATAAAATTTCCATTGTTACAGAGTTATTCATCATAGAAATGATTTTATTTTATTAACCGTTTCGTTAATTTTAATTTTATTTAGAGTGAAATTAAACTAACTGAAACCTTTTGTTATAATATAATAATGATTATAATTATAATATAAATATTACATTTTATTTTAACAATAAAATATATTTTCATCATAATAAAATCAATAGTATCAGTTAAGAGTTAACTAAAAGTCTAAAAGCGTGGCCTAATTACGAATGGATCGAGTGAAATACTGCAGCGTAATGCCACAGTAGAATAGGCCATCAAGTTAATGACATATAGCGAATAAGTAGAAAAGTGTCGTATTAGTCTGACTGGTGTGCAAAGTACCAAAAATCTTGTCAGTGTCTCGATTAGAATTTGCGTTGTCAATGCAATGTTCCTTTATTCGTGGACTGGTAAACGATTACTGATAATATTCCGTAGTGAGGAAGCTTATCAATGATCGAACCATTCATGGTCGATGATACACCGGCCGGCATGATTATTCGAACGTCGGCCGTTGCGCGCTCGGAATTGTGCGTTACGTAAGACGTTTCGACGCGGACCAAATTGAAAGTAATGGCTCCGGCGTTCTTTCGCTGCGTGTTTATGTTAGTGCTCTACAAGTGTCTCGCTGCACTCGGTCAAGTACGTCTACCGGCTCGGCGATCAGCTGCGTGGAGTAAAGCGTATAAAGCGCCGAGTCATTACACAAAGAGCATACTCACTCTGTTTTGCCATGGCACGACGATACGCGATGGCGAGGCTTCTTTCGACGAACCGTTTTACCGTCTTCCATTTTACTTTTCCTAATCGAGACTGGAGGATGCTTGATGTGGAGAATCCCTTTTTTTCAATCGAGTTACGTCTCATAGGTGAAATTGAAAGCGGAGGATGTTTCATGAATAATTTAGCTAAGTTTAGTAAGTTTTTAAAGGTTAATTACAGCAAATGTTACAGTAGATATTGAAAACATTGCAATAGAAGATGGAGTAAAATTTCAGAAATTAATTCTTCATCGAGGTACGATTCCAGCAACTATCCAAGACAACTGTCCGACAAGAAACAATCAAAAATGTTCGTGACATAAGAGCAATATCTTCAAGCTATTAGAGGGGCGATAATAAAGGCTCTGCGGCAATATTTCCGAGCGACGAACTGCAGAAGAATAGCGGAACAGAAAGGGGCGGCAATTGAACGAGCCTTGAGAGCGCGTCACCTGTTTTTTCCCCTGGTTTTGCGCTTCGCCCGAGTCAAGGCTTTTTCGTTAGGCAAGATACGATGCCGCAGCTTATTTCTATTTTTCTTGCGGCCACTCCGGTGGCTCTCTAGAACGAAAGGAACGTCGCGTCGAGTGGAATCTGCGAACGGGGGAGGGAGAGAGAGAGGATTGAAGGGGCTTGCGGATGACGTAAAACGAGAGCAAAGAGGGTCGTGCGGACGTTGTCTTCTCGTTTTGCGGACCGAACTCTGTCTCCGCCGAGCTACGCTCTTTCCAAGCTTCCGTCTTCCTCGTTCAACCTCCGTCACATTCCCGCGACAACGTCTTTCTGGCAGCGTTTCTTCTTTCTCGGTCATTCAGCCGCGCGTCTTCCCCCGTTCTCTGCTCCGAGTCCTCGTCGCTCCTCTTCTCTGCTCTTCCGGCGAAACACAATCAATCACTTTTCTCGGTGAGCCGGCATGACACCCTCCTTTTACACCCACAGCCACCCCTGCACCCGTAGTTCGTCAACGACGATTCCCTCTCGTTTTCCCTCGCCGTCTCTCGCCCTTTTGCGCGATCGTCGCGATCTCCCAGATGACGATTATCGCGAGAGATCGCCCATGAAAGCGGCTCAGCGACATCCGCCACGTGTATCACGGATGCTTCGAGTGAAACGAAAGAATTAAGGGTGAAACTTTCTTCGTGACTCTGTTGTTTCAGGCTTGAAGTGGATACGTGGATTTAGAAGAATATCTTGCTAGTTTCGGTTCCTTGAATAGTTGGAATGATATAATTAAGGCGTATCAAAGATATTGGAATCTACATTTGAGTTTATGGTTTTGTACTGTTGGACAGTACAAATTCATGATTAGATTACGAATTTGCATAGATTTACAAAATGCAAAAATTTGCAAGAAGCACGCAGTGTTTA